AAAGTGGAAGGGGCAGTTCTTACAAAGGAAAAGGGGCACTTGTCACAGTAAAAGAGGCAGCTCTCAGATTTGACTATAGGGCAATTATCTATACCTCTCTATAACTATATCGGCCATTAGAAATGCAGTCAGGCATTGTTCCCTAAAACTCAAAACTATAAGAACGAAAGGCCTAAAATTGAAGAAAAAAAAACAGGAAATGGATTACATCAATGGTAAGTTTGACATTCTCAACCCTCCAATGATTGAGAAAGATATGAGAAAGCTAGGTTGCAAAAAAAGTTTACAAATTTCTATTTTTTGTAAAGGCATTAGCCAAATAGGCACTCACCAATAACGTAAGAACATCTACATGTACGCACAAAAAGCCGCTAGCCGTTTCAAAGTTGTCACTTTGACAACATAATATTAACAGACGCGTAGCCAGGGGGCGGTGTGGGCGGTCGCCCCCCCCCCCAAAAAAAAAAGAGAGAGAAAGAAGAAAGGAAGAGGCCGTAGGAAGCAAAAGAATTATAAGTCGAAAACGGTACAACGAATCGTCTTCTTTCTCTAATAACTTAATGAAACGTCAAAGCTTCCGCGCTTCGCGCGGGAGGGGGGGGGGACTGAACTCATATAAGGATTTAGAGTCGAGAACGGTACATCGAATCTTCTTCTTTCTCTAAATAATTTAATGAAACGTCTATCACTGACGTTTAATGTTGCAGGACTAATCATATCAAGCAGTGTTTTTTGTTTTCTCTATCTACATAATATCTAACATTAATTTCATAAATTAATAAATTTTGGGTGAAGGTACGAAAGATTCCGAAATATTGGGCATGTTGTTTAAGGATTTAAATTATAATTATAGAAATAATAAGTTGATGATGTTTTTTCTCTAAAGAGGCATCGGAAGAGAAATAGCTTCGTTTTCTTGTAAATAGGCCAAGATGTTAAAGGACGTCTCAGTGCAGCAAGCCCAGCACGCAGGAAAGCCCATCAGTCAAACCGACAGCCAGCCAGCCAATTTCAACGACCCAGTATTCAGAAGATCGGGCTGATGCTATTTACGACTTCCGTCGATCTAGAGGAACGGTAAACCAAACCCTAACCCTTACCCCTCACCCCAAACCTTGCCCAACCTCAACCCCAACCCAAATGCAATTGACAATCGCATCGAATAAACGGGGGCTCATATAGTCGTCCGGCAAGCGGCAGGGGAGGGGACCAAAGAGGTGGCCCAATTCGTGAGAAAATATTTAGCGGCAAAACAGCCTGCCGGTGAATAAGCGGGGGGGGGGGGGGTTGAAAAATTGAAATCCCGGGGGCCCCCTGGATCCGTCACTGACCCTAACCTCTATACCCCGAACCCTAACCCTAACCCTACAAGCGGTTCACCAAAGAAGTTGGAAATTTAACGAAGCAACATTCTGGTCATCTGTTATGTGCCTTCTGTAATTACTATTTTTGATGCTCATGCTTTTTGTTTATACCAGCTATTCGGTCAACGGTCATCTCTTGTAATTTTTGTGTTTGAGTAAGTGCTTCGTATCTGCTTTATGGAAAGGCGCTATCAAAAATATTTTGCATTATTATTAATTTAAAGGAGAAGAAGAAGTAGACAAAGAGGAAGTATAGTAGCAGAAGAAGAACAAGACGATGAAACAGAAGCAGGAGCAGAGGAATTAAGCAGCAGAAGCAGGAAATCGAGGGGGTGGGAAAGCGTGCTCGACATTACATTATCGTAATGCAATTGTATTAACTGCGGGCGATACAATAATAATTCCTTGCTAATCAGAGCGCATCGAGGACACGTCAATTGAAAATTTTGAAATCAAGCACATTCCTAATACTTATCGCTGTGACACTGTTCTATATCAAATAAAACATTTAGTGAATTTTACTTCGGAGAAGAAAATAAGTAGTCGAGAGATGGTTTATATATATATTTCATTGTGAATAAAAATATTTTAAACACATGGGTATTTTTTCTTCGCTCGCTCACAACAAATTAGAAACCGGATAATTTCAGGAAGTAAAGTGCCTGAATACTGTGCAACGAGGTGCCAAAATATATATTTAATAGCAAGGTGCCCGAATATCGTCTCATTCAGGCAGCAATAAAGACGCGATAACAAAAACTTTCGGGAAACAAAGACTCGAAAGAAAAAAGTCAGCGATCGAGCGGCAGGGCGCCATCCGTATGCGTTCCCGAACAATCGGGAAAATCGTGGAGGGGGGGGGCATAATGGCCCCGGTCTTATTAGGGTTTATCTTGATGCAATATTGTTGAATTCAAACTCTGAAGAAAACGTGTAAACTCTGTATCATCCCTGCATCAGCAATACAGAATTAAGTGCATTGAACCTGCCGACCTTTCGCTATTCAGTATTATCAATAATTCGCGACTCTGGGTTCAAAGTCTGAGGAGCCCTGAACTTTCAGCTGTCATGCACAATGGTAACTAACAACAGAGTGTTGTGAATTAGATACATTAAGACGTCGGGCCCTCACAACATATTCTTATTATATGCTACACAATAACATTTCAGTATTCTATAACTTCGCGTTAGTCTGATAAAAGAGTCTCGATCTTCCAACTTCCACCATGAACGTATAATGTACTCGAGTTCAAATCCAGCAAATTAACATCACCATAACAGCTAGCTTTGATAATTCTCTTTTATTTGGTTTCAATACCCGTGCAGTTATTCCTTTGCATACAAGTGTAATAATCAAGTAAGTCTATTAATCAAAAGTAATTACTAAATTGCAAACGCAAAAACCCCATCGATACGCCGCATACACACTTTCAAAATAAAGAATTAAAGAGTAACTGGTGCAAAGCAAATTATTTCAAAAGTACATTAAATCGGACAAACAGATCACAAATACTTCACAAAACCAGGGGGTGGGGTGTTTCACAAAGGCTTTTTTTCATAATGACAAATGACAAAAATCATTGACAAATCTGCTAATAACTAGTCAGAAGCAAGGATTACACTAGCCATAACGAAAAATGTCATTTGTCACTGTCATTATACACGCTCTCCCCTCTAAGATCTGGCTTAAAGACAGATAAGCAAATCTTAAATCAAGATCTAATCTAAATTTATATGTGCAAGAAACCGATTACCAGGACAGCATTGACATACTGTGAAACTTAGATTAAAGTAAGACCTAAAAAAGAAAGATGTTGTATTGCCCTTTGCGACCGACCCAAAAATCTTGAAAGAGAGAGTTTTAGAGAAGATTGGCACCTAAAGGGCAATACAACATCTTTTTGTTTAGGCCTAATGGACATGACACTGTGAAAGTGTACATACTCGGTAATGGGGTTCATAAATCGCACCCCACCTAGCTCTTCCGTGTGACATATCAATCCAACCTCCCCTAGTAATGTTAAAAACAAGAGAAAATGGTGCAAAGTACCATTTTTTTGAAAAATGAGTCTAAGTCATTTATGCCTAAATGGTTGGGATGGTTGCCAATAACATACCCTTCTTGCTACCTTTTCCTATTTCTCTGATGTTTGACAAAAGTTTATTTCTACAAAGTAGCTATTTCGTCATGATTAATTGATTGATTTGTTGAGGGGGGGGGGGGGGGGCAAGAAACCAACTAAATAAATTAGTGAAATAACATTAGATTTGGATTCATAAGACAGGTGGGATTCATAAGACAGGTGGGATCTATACGATTTAAAAGGGATTCGGGAAGATCTGTGGCTATAATAAGGGGAAAGGTGCCAAAGTGCAAGATATATGCACAAAAAACAGTAAAACGGAGAATAAAGGAGAAGATGGCGGGGAAGCTTAGCAGAGAAGTCATTTTGTTAAGACTCCGTGGTAAGAAGGAAGTATGCATGGGAAAAGTAAGGCAATGCCAAGAGAGAGAAAGAGAGAGAGAGAGACAGAGAGAGACAGAGAGACAGAGAGAGAGAGAGAGAGAGAGAGAGAGAGAGAGAGAATAGCCCGGATTTAAATTCAGTTTTCGTTATATTATTAAACCTGATACCGATGATTATTTTGTCTGCCATGTTAAACCTTGAACACAATCGCACAATCTTTCGCATGAGAAGACTTTCGCGCAATGCAACCTTACCAAACATGTTTGCCATCAAACAAATACATTGACGTAGAATTAATCTGAACACGATTTTTATGGGATAAACAATATGGATTTGAAACTACCCTCATGCCGATTTCTTGAAAGTGTTTGCGATTATATTGTTGGAGAATCATTCCTTGGGAGTGTTTCACAAAGACTAAGATCGACTTTAAGTATATAGGACTTTACTACGGCAGGCTATCTGTTTGCTCCCATAATTTACTGGCATTCATTGGTCTCTCAAGGGACTTACAAATCATGGTCACAAATCTACTTTTTTTTTTATAATTCATTATTGAAGGAAGAAATATTATCTAATGATATAATTGAGAGACCAATGGTGAGAGCAAGCAGTGGTATGACGATCTTAGTCTTTGTGAAACACCCCCCCCCCCCCGGATGTGAAAAAATAATAGAAAAGAAAGAATTCAAACCTTACAGTATTTAATCCCAATAATGTAGAAATATTATACACATATACTGGTCAGTGCTCCCAAGAGCTAATGAACAACCTTATGATACACAATACAAAAAAAATGTGCATGCTGAAAAAAATGCTTCTTTCCTAATGACCGTAACGCTTAAATTACATTTTACATCTATTAATACATAATGTATATATATATGAAAATATATGAAGTTGCATTATGTTATCTTTTTTAATAATACCTGTACTTGGCACTATGCCACTCATCCAAACTCTCTCATTCTTTATTTTTTTCTTGTGCGCCTCGGAATAGAATTGTCTAGATAGACGGCGCTATATATATATATAAATGCCTATTATTATTATTATTATTATTATTATTTTACATATAATTCTAAGATGGAAAAGAGGAAGAAAAAATAGAAATTCTCAAATTTCAACATAAATATGAATAAAAGTCAATAAATAAATACACAAACAGTGAAAGTATACATCAAGTTCATATTTATGAATACATTCAGGAGGATTTTCAAGTTTTATCACTTCATAAATAATCAAAATCTCATTCCATGAATAGCTGGAGTTTTGATCCCATACTTATATCTGCTTAAATATTAAATCATAGAAACCTTTTTTTTTACAGAAGACACACAACTATATATATACTGGCAAAGTACTTAACCATCAATACCTTTCTTAATAATAATAATAATAATAGTAATAATAACATTCTGGCTTTATATACATGAAGTGCTAACTATATCTAAGATATCTCTTTTCTTTTACACTATCCTGTTCATAGTATTTAGACTTGGCCGCACACAATACGTTCACATTCTCTGCACATTCTCTGCTCCCTTAGAAGCATCCTACCAGGTACCTATTTAATACTTGGGTGGATAGAAGCAATATAGATAGAATCCCTTGCTTAAGGACATGTTTACGGCACCTGCAGATATTCAACCCACAACCAATTCATCTTCAGTCGAGCATAAATTGACTAGCTCACCTCTTTTAAGCCATTATGCTAATCATAATAATAATATTGGATATTTACATAGCGCACATATCCACTCAGGTGCTCAAAGCGCTCCAATATTACCTCGGCTCTGCTAGGCTAATACCTTTTTAAATAGAACAAAAATCTATAATGTCATTTGTGATACAGTATATACACATGTATAAACCTGTTTTTGTACATTATAATTATATCAATCCGTCTTAGTCATATCATAGTACGATTTGTCATCTATTTAACCTGTTGAATCTATATAGCCATTATGATATTTACATATATGCATTAATTAGACAAACTTTTAACTCAAGGTGAATACATTTCATGCAAGCTAGGTGTATATACAAAACAAACAAACAAACAAAAATACATAAAAAACATCCAAACAAGCATTACAGTTATGGCATACTACATATTTATAATGCACATACCATAATTCAACCTGTTCATTACTTGATGCCACTGTGTTTTCTTGAAAAATATTCTGTATCTAAAGAAACAAAAGTCACATGAATGAAACCTAACTATATAAAACTATAAAAAATAAAGGGGTGACTTGGGACACACAACATCTGCGGTATCATAATGAAAAGATATTTTAGCTTTCTAGAAGGCTAAAAATAGGTTTCATAGACAAAAGGGATTTTGTACGATCTGCATTTTCTATTTTTCAGGTTGATTTGAATGATGGAGAGGTTGGTTAAAGACTTAAAAAGAGGGGATCATTTTGAAACCCTGGAACAGCTCATGTGTTACGTCATCATTACATACAGTAAACACACTGGGCTATTTCCCCTGCTGGCTAGGGGATTAACGTAGAACAAGGTTTTGTGTGCTATGAAAAAAATGGAGGCTATGACATATACACGTGTAAGTATTTTGTTGCAATTGATATAAATATGCAGTGTTTAAAAGAATAGGGCTGTTAAAAAAAGATTCAAGCTTCTCGTTGTTCCCTTCTGTGCTTCTTGATGAATATGTATATATATTTATATAAAATCAGCCATTTTAGACACGTTTCTTGATAACAAAATGAATGAATCAACTTTTTCATAACCATATCAATGTATACACAAAAAAAAAAGTGAAATTATGATCTTATTCTCAGGTAAAGACGCAATCCAAGTTCAGAGCAGCTGTCCAGTTCACATGCTGAAAAATCAGACAACTTTTTGATGCTGGAATAAAATTTACATTTACTTGATTGAATTCTACATTTGCTTTGAGACGATTTTACAGCAGCTATCACACAGAGCCTATGAAGGTTGAGACTAAATATTAGGCATTTCAGACCATGCTCATATCAACAGGCAACTACCATGCTAGATGTATTGCTCTGCAATACACCAAAAGATTTGTATTCTTGAACTTAATAACCATGACATCACAATGGCTTAACTTGTATGATGGCCAGAAGGGGGCGCTATACAACATTTGAATTCAAGCATCTTTTATTTCTGAAATTAGCCTACACACAAAAATGTATAAATAAAAATTCTTTGGCACTGATTGCAACTTTACTTAATCATTCATTGAAAAGAATTATCTGGCAACAAACAGAAAGCACTGGAAATGTAGCACATACGTGAAGTAAATTTCTGGACATTGCTGTTGAAAATTCACAAAGCATTTGAGACCAAAATATTTAAGGAGAACCTTGTATTTATGAGGGCTGTTGGAGTGGCACAATGTAAGTAAGCCACACCTTTGTGGGTTGATTAGTTTTTCATTTTCTTAATCAGTTCATGAATCTGTGGTGCAGTAGTGTGCATATAATATGTAGTATGTTGGTCTACCCATCGACTACGCTATATGGCAATAATTCAGTGCATGGAAATCTTTCAAAGCAGGAATCCCTTCTGCAACACAAAGTTGGGGTGCAGACCTAAGGCTATGATGCAGTAATCATGGATAAAATCTCAAAACTTTTAAGAGACATGAGTCAAATTTTGTATCTCAATTTGTTAGTTTCATTGCTAAATTGGGCAAAAAATATCTTCTTTTGTTTCTGTTTCATGACAAAACAAACTAGCTTTCCTTAATTTAGACATTATAATTGTGTTATCATTTACAATCTCGGGCAGGGTGTGCAGCTGACTTTGCAAGGACTGCCCAAAGACCACCATGGGTGCCAAGCACATCACATCGAGGGGTCAGTGACACAAAGACGTAACTTCATTTTGGCCATTTTGAGAAAAAGTGGTTTATGTGTCACTGAGCACTTGGGCCTTAAGGAGTTAAGTCTATGTTTCACTAGCCATTGACTTAAATGGGGTGTTGGGTGGTGTTAAGTCTTTATGTTTCCTGGAAAGACCACATTTTTCTGAACATTTTGATATGAAATACTTATTTTGGCAAAAAGAGGAGTTACGTCATCGTGTCACTGAACCCTCGACATGTAGATGACAGTCAGAGCTGCCTTGATCTTTTGATGAGAACTTGAGTAATCCCTTACAACAATTCTTTGAATTACATGGTTATTGTGGGAGGTGGTTGCAGTTATCCTTTACTGGATGAACACAAAGAGGGTGCTAGGCATAACACGTGTACAGGACTGGCAGACAATGAGCCTTAATGACCCTACTTGCATATACAGACAATGCTCTACATGTATAACCTCTTCTGTTGTCTAAGTTTTTAGATGATTGTCATGAATAAACTTTGAAGTGTTGCATCAAAAATAATTCTGCTGTTTGAATTGAGCATCAAAGGTTTCCATGGAAATAAACTGACAAACGTTTTTTTTTTTTAAATAAAAAAAAATATATAAACACATTTTTTAAAAAGAGAGCTTTGAGCGATATAGCTCTGGTAAATAGAAAAAAAACTCTGTTAAAACACAATACACATGTATTACTAAACTATCACTGATAAATTTGCTCCCACAAACAAACAGAAAAGTATTTTTCACGCTGCTGCACAATGATGAGGGTAACTGTGTTCAGGAAGCAAAGGGTGGCGATCATCAGCCTCCACACATTGTCCACCTTCACCTTCTTGGGCGGACTATGCAACCCAAGGGATCAAGACTGAAGACCATAAGAACATACATCTTGAGAACAAGCTGGTCCTAGGACTACACCCATTATCTTACTGTCAAGGATGGTATGGCAAGGATCATGTGTCTTCTCTGCTAAGATGGCAACGCCACGCTGATGGAACTGGGCAGGATGGAAGGTCTCTACTTTTTACTGTTTATCGTCTTCACTACCCACGTTAAACCATCCTGTTTGGAACAGAGAAAATTGAAAGAAAATCACTTCATTATTAGGCCTACAATAGATGGCTCATCGACTCGCTATGAAGTCAAGCCTATTGGGTCCCGTGTTATGTTGTCACCGTAACTGCGGCAAATCTGTCCTATATTGCCATGTAATATGGAGGGGTGCACAAAATTTGTTTTGTGTGCAATTCTGAAAGGGAAATATTGTAATCCTTTATATTTGTATTCTACATTCATTCAACTTTGAATTAATCCATGTTGTATTTTCATAGAATAGGGTCTTTAATAACTGCACATCCTTTCTAACCCAGGTGTCGTGGTCAAGTGGATACATCCCTGGACTGTCGATCACAAGGTCCGCGGTTCAAGTCCCGCTGCAGCACTAATGTCCTTTGGCAAGACGTTGATCTACATTTGCCACACTAAACCCAGGTAATGTAAATAGGTACCTGGCAGGAATTAATTCCTTGAAATGCTGGAGCGCTGTAATGGCTGCTAGGCTAAAGCCGCCAAGCCAGGGTAATAATAAATGCGCCTCGGAATAGAATTTCTAGATAGAGGGCGCTATAGAAATGCCTATTACTATCATTATTAAAATCTATATATTGTTGCATACAAATATAAAGATGAAAGCATCTCTAGAAAAGACTTATTTACCTCCAGGCCTTCTCCGGACAGGGCTGAACATGCTTGGATTTGCCAAGGCCTGTCTCGAATAGATTGTAGATTTAAAGCATCACCATCAGATAGGTCAGAGGCAGATGCTGCTCCTACTAGATCCTGCTTGTTGGCGAATACTAGCACTGGTACTCGCTGTAACTTCTCTTCCTCCAATAGTTCATTCAATTCCTAAGGAGAAAGAAGTATAGTATTGATAGAAAATTAATATACAGAGGCATAAGAAAATACAGAGACTGTGGACATTATGTAGGTACAGAAAGTCTATCCTATAGCTATTACAATATTCTTGTAAAGAGATTTAGAAGGGAGGTGATACCAGAAAAGTGGAGGCAATCTAAATGGTTCAAGATTGGCAATTTGATTGTTTAACATATTCTTTTGGATTAAAATTCATGAACAAATTTGTAAACTTGAGATTTTGAGGGTGGTCAGTGATATCAGTTGGTTTTACCCAATTAGCCTGAAAAGAGACCCAAGCATGTTATCTCATATATGTTTTTTTTCTTCAAATTTGAAGCCTAATATGCCTGAAATAGGGAGGTACTACGGAATGAAATCAGGGGAAAGCCGGAAAAATGGCATCTGTGTGTCATTCCTACCAATCTGGTGAAAATTCCACTCCAGCCGATTTCATACATGAAGTGAAATCACAACTTCAACCCTGGACCGAACACTACACTTACCCCCACCCCTAACCTAACATCCAATAGAAACCCAAATCTTGAGCATTTTTCACAGCACTTTGAAGGGTATTACGTGTTCTGCAAAAAATTATTTGTTGCTGTTATTGTTGTTGTTGTTACTGTTATTGTTGCTGTTGCTGTATATATTTCCAATAAAAAGGGGATACATGCCTTTAACTACTCTTAAGTAACAACTCACCTCCCCTGTTTCTTCAAATCTTGTTCTATCTGAACTGTCTACCACATATATCAAAACATCGGTATTTTCAAAGTAGTTCCTCCAGTACGGTCTGATCTTCCGTTGCCCTGTGAGGTCAAATTAGAAGAAAGATAAAAGAGAAAGAAAGAAAGAGAGAGAGAGAGAGAGAGAGAGAGAGAGGGAGATAAAGAAAATAAGTTCAAGTGTCAAGTCAAGCTACTGGTAATGTCTCTACAGACCAACAAACCGTAACAGGTATTCACAATTGTGTACACAAAACTAAATTATAAACAATAAAAACAATGAGATGTACATAATATAATGTTATTTTAAATTATAAGATTTAATAAGCTACATACATGTACATGTATTACTAAGATTACGAACATTGGGATTTAGAATGAAAGTGAACAAAGTACATGGGATTAGAATTCTGCTCTGGAAAGCTCCAAAGTTATAAATAAAACAAAAGAGCAATATCTGCAACAGTGCAAGTTAATTTCAGAGAGAACTCTGCAGATCAAGCCTATCACATGTAGCTACATACCTCCTATATCCCATACGTTAAGATTCCATTCCTTGTTTTTTAAGCTCTTGATGTTGAAACCTCGCGTTGGTGATATGTTCTCATGACCCTCTTTAGAAAGGCTTTTAAGAATGGTAGTCTTGCCAGCATTGTCCAGACCAAGTAGAAGAACTCGTAGCTCCCTCTGATGTTTGTGCTTCAGTTTCCGTAACAGGTCTAAAAAGTACGGCTGTGAATATGATAAGAGGGAAATCAGGAAGGTAATCTTCTTATACAAGAAGGGGACACAAATCACACAATGCTGGAAGTCTTGAGCCCCCTTTACAAAATGCACCAAAGCACCTCAAATATAGTGCTGCACAGCAAAATGCAATGACCTACACGTTGTAAGCATGGTGGTCTACACATTTCTTTATAGATCTCAGGGGAAAAATATTTAGTTAATTTATTTAATTTTGGGGGCTACTTTTAAGCTTGCTTGCATTAAAATTACACTCTTTAAATTGTTTTGCGTTGAACTCTATGCAATTTTTTGGGGGCACTTATATGACTTTTGAGGGCTCTTTTTTGGCATTTTTGGTGCAAGTTCACCCCGAGCCCCTGCATATTTTTTCCCTGATAGATCTCATGTATAAGCGAAGCTAATGTATGTGAGTAAGTGTAGGGTATTTTGCACAAAACTATTTTTTAAACTCCACTTGACAACATTTAGATCTACACATGACATTGAACATGTCAAATGGATTTTATTTTCTTGCAACATTATTTGAGATGGTACCGTAATCCGTATACTCAACTCAAGTATACCCAGACAGACTTAGAGAACTACAACTTCCTACTTTGGCTTACAGAAGACAAAGAGCAGACCAGATACAGATATTCAAAATCCTGAGAGGCTTTGACAGAGTGAATCCTTCAAAATTCTTCCAACTTGCCACTGAATCAATAACAAGAGGACATGATTTCAAGATTGTTAAACAACGTTTTAACACAAGACTTAGGCAGTATAGTTTCTCAATAAGGAGTCATGTGTAAACAATTGGAATGCCCTGCCTAAGGAAGTAGTCAATGCTACCACCATTAACCAATTCAAGTCATCCCTAGAAAGGTAAGTTTGAACCATACTTGAGACGGGATGCAACAGTAAAGAGGGACAAATAAGCGATGCTTCCAGTCTCTACACCCAAGTATACCCAAGTAAGTACTCAACGTTGTTATTGTATTCTGTGTCAATCAAGAAGCTTCTTTTATTTTTTGCACATTTAAGAGAGTTGCTAGCGATTAGAATCTAGATCTAGATCTAGTAGTACTCAGTCTCAGTAGGCTAGTAGTAGAACTATAGAAGACCTCTAACAAGTCTAAGTTAGATCTACTCTACTCTCGGCTAGGGCTAGGCTCTAGGCCTACACAGCGAATAAGGTTTGCTAGTGCCCAGCTAGCTAACATGCACCATATAATTAAATAATATACTTTATAATTATACTGTCACAACTTCACAAGACTATGACAAGGCAAGGAATTTTGAATGACTGCAGAATGTATCCGCATGTACACATCTTACATTGCACTACGGGTACCAGAGCTCACTGCGCTCCGAGCCGCTACGTACCCGCTGTCAGAGGGCGAGAGTTCGCATAGCCTCGAAGGAATCACCGACACTCACCGAGTTTCAAACCCACAAAGTTGTACCAAAGGCAGTGACAAAATAACACTACTTCAGCAAATAAAATAGCAACTTTTTCTTTACTTATAATTTAGCAGCACAACAAATGTAAAAAAATGATACTGGAAGGAGATAAAAGTGCCAAAATATATGTTTTTCTCTTACCATGATAACTGTCTCGTCGTCGATCTGCGAAATTTAGCTTGGTGTAACTATGTAATATGACGTCATCATGTATTGGAAGATATAACTTCCGGAAAATAAATAAATTATTGTGGCGGTGGATATGACACAATTGAGGCAAATCAAAAAGCGACCTACTTGTTTATTTCATTTTTTTTAATCTGACATGTATTCATTTACCAGTCCTTGAACAGTATATATTAAACCATTTATTAATCATTCATCCATCCACCCATCCAATAAACATCCATGCATCTATGTTGTATATTTTTATATATCATATTCATATATCTAGCAGATGTCACATGCCTTATGTCCATTCATTTATTCTTTTTTGACGAGCAAGATTGATCTCTTATACCCAAATCTCGAGATTCATGGGGAAAAACAGAAAGGAAGAAACTTATGAAAGAAAGTAAAAAAGAAAGGAAGGATCGAAGAGAGAAATGAAGGAAAAAAGAAAATTAGAGCTAGATCGAGAGAGAGAGAGAAGAAAATCAAAAGAAAAAATAGAAGAAAAGAAAGCATGTAGAAGAACTTCTCACACCATGATCTATGCCTCCAATAGGTTGTGAACAAAACAAACAAATGGCAAACAATAATGAACAAATTTAGTAAAAAGAAAACAAATCAAAATGTATCCCGATTGCTGTGCATAACCAAATGGGAGCTCCTCTCGATCTACATGCAAGCTAGCCCATATGAAAAGGAAAATTTAAATGACAGGGAACAGCTAATTGCAGCTTACCATTCATAGTGTCAAAATTAAAGGAGAGAAACATTTTCAAGTATCAGAATATGAGGCATTGGCAACTTGGAATGACACATTGTGCTGGAATATACATTTTCAAAGCATACCTGTTCCTCACAGTCCAACAATAAAATAACCTTTTTTGCACATCATCATCACTTGGTTATTTCATATAATTTTCAAAGGTTCACAACTTCTTTCATGTAAGTCCCATAGCTTCTTCAGCATTTTGAAATCTTTAATAACTAGCTATTCTGCCCTTTTGAGGCTATACAAAGCATAAGCATAAGTCTGGAAGGAGTGTTCTCCTCCAATTTAAGTCAATTTGGGAAATCTTAATCAATTGCCCCACCCCCCCCCCACACACACACACACACACACACACACACACACACACGCACACATTGTCTATATCAACAGGATTAACCGGCCATGTAATATCAGCTTTAAAAAAATGTTTTTTAATCTCAATTCAACTTTCTCAATATTTCTTGTGTAAATCAGTGCATATATATAGCTAAGCCGATTTTGTTTTAATTTCTCAAAGTTTGAGGGTATAACTCTTTTCCACACCCACTCAATCTACTCACATAGCTAAGGGGGTGGGGACTGCCGATCCAATGCCAATAATGTGTTACAAATGATTGTATCTTCTTACAGAAGCTAATGGGCTACTAACACATCAATGTCTCCTGCTTTAACAAAAATAATGAACAATGAAGCAAATGATCCATAAATGATTCAGTCATAACACACCAAAAGGTAAATACCAGTTCTTAGTTTATTTCATTTATTCAATTAACTTATTACAGGCATATCCTATAGATGTGAAATCCATATATATACATAAGACATTTACACACACAAGCTGCCAAGTTTACATTACCATATAGATACATGCACGGAACACAGTGTACACAAATAGTGTGGAATTGTGTTTTCATCTCAGTCGATAATTCAACAATTAAAGCCAAAACAATATCATAGGCCTAGAAAGAAGTCAAAATTGATACAGAATTACTGTAATATGTAGGGATATACTAGGATGATGGGTCAAGATACATATGGAGGCATGCAGGGAGCAGCTATAAAGCAACCACTGTACTAGATCCCGTTTAAAAAGAAGGTGAGTGTGATTTAAAATCAATATTGAGGTCTGGAGTTAAATACAGAGAGAGGGAAAGAGAGAGAGAGAGAGAGAGAGAGAGAGAGATAGAGAGAGGGGGTGGGGGGAGGGGGTGGGGTCTAAATAAATTGGGTGTATCCTTATGAAGCTAATTCCTGGAAAGTTTCCCCACAGGCCCAGATCTCTACCATATTTATACCCAAGGGCAATATTAAATAGGGGAGTACTTGTCTTGGGGGGGGGGGGCAGATATTACTTTGTGGTTGATTGCCCAAGGGGCAGTTGTTCAGGAGTGAAATGACAGTATTTCCAGAGCAATCATTCTCATGTAAAATTGTTGTGAAGTATGTTCTAGTTCTTGATAATTGATAGAATTATAATCTATATTAAACATAAATGTATATCTGAAATATTGCGAGAGGTTCTATCACAAATGATATTATTTTTTTTGTAAAAGCAGCTTCAAAATAATACTCACACTTACTAATGGTACAACAAATACAATCTAATTGTTTATCTCTATTCTGTACAGTCCCCATCAAATACTTGAGGTTCATGTCTGTGCCACTTTCTAATGAAAGTCTAGAGCCGAGCCGAACCAACACTAAGATAACATCCAAATGCCTGAGTAAGCTATATACATGTATATGTATATCCATGAAAACATATAATTATCTACCAATTAACATATAATTCTTCACCGTAAGCAACATTTACATTAAGGAGGGTGTTTGGGTGATTTGCATTAGAACATAATCATAAAATGTGGGTGTTTCAGTCTGTATACGTTCACTACCGGCGTGTATTTCCAATTAATACAAATGGATTCTGATAACTGATCCAGCATTATTACATGCATGCTCACGAAATGATATCAACATTGGACTTTCTTCACATCTACTATTGACATAAACTGTATGTTAGGCAATGCAATGTCTAAATAACTATATCATGTGCTCCAATAACAATGTATAGCTTACTCCAAGTACTTCATACTGAATAAGTGAGCTGCTAATGATAAATTAACATCGTAACTTAGCAATGAATTATACATCACATTCTTTATAAAACGCAGCCCTTGCTATTTTATGACTGTCCCATACGTTACTGACTGTATCAGTTTGAATCAGACAAAACATCAAATAAATTGTTATTTTTATGTTAGTTACTATTCACAATTCCACCTATGGGACATACCTTGTACTCACCCACTGATAAATGGGGATGCCAGTTAGAATTGATCAGAGGGCCTAAAAATCACCTAGAATGAGCTATTTTGAACACAAAAAGGCCTAAACTATGATCTGAAAATAACTCGCCAGGGCCTGAAAACTGGCATCCCTGTGATGAATATTGTATGGAACAGATGAATAGAAGGAGAAGGGAGTAAAAGACAAACACTTAAATCTCTCAGTCACTTGATTTGGTATGTAGATATACATATCTTCTCCCTTCAAACGAAATGACTATCTAATAATAATAATAATAATTAACCATTCTTGTATAGCGCATAACACATAGTATTAAAACATGTCCCTAAGCGCTCTAGAGAAAAACACAACAAAATACAAAGACAATCTACCTTTAGTTTTGAATGTATATACAATTTACCAACGCCGAGTCTAAATAAACGAAAGATCCCATTTTGCAAAGTAAAAAGTTAACTTCACAGTTCTTATTAAACTACAATGTATAATTTTCAACATCACCATGAACACAATGTGAAAGCACTACATGTATTAGCTTTGTTCACAATTCTAACTTATTATCCAATTTGCCTACTGGTACATGTTGTTATCCACATTTCTGATGCAAAATGTAACTCAAGTAGATTATATGATTTCATCAAATAATATACTTGTTTCAAGTGAAACTATTATTCATGTTTGCACAAACAGTACCCCACATAAAAAAGCATATATTGTGTTTGCACAACTTACAGGCAATTACATGCCTAATTTGGGTGATTTGTGCAATATGCAAATTTGCAGTGTAAAGTGATCAAAGTTGAGCATTATATTGACCAAAAGTTGATGGAGTCACACACCTAATTGACAACATGTTGGGTAATAATCTTTACCAAGGAATTGAAAAAGAGTACAGGAACTTATAAGTGCATGACCCACTTAGAATCATAAGTGAATACAATTGAAAACAGGTTTTCAGATAATTATATTTCGCTGATGTAAAGGAAACCTATCTCAAATTTCCTACAATATCCACATCTGAATTTTACATGTTTTACTTTTACATTCCAAATTATGGGAGAACATCTGTATTGCGAAAATAAATACTCAATTATTTAAAGGCAGGAATTAAAACTCAAGGTGATTACAATTACAATCAATGCACGTTGACATGAATACTGAAATAGTACTTACAGACTGTACAGATGTGAAAAGTTATTAGTCAAAGTCAGGGCCAATATTCAGAAAACCATGTATGAACATGTCCACAGCTCACTGAGGATAAACCACATATATGTACATGTCTTGTATGATTTAGCCTGTTATATCTTTTCGGACTAGCTTTGATGAATACGGACCTATGGAAGATGAGAGAAATGTGAAAAGACATTGTCCTATTCTAAAAACGAAGTTTCAAACACACAACATGCACACATCTAATTTAAGAGAAACACCCTATTACATAAACCAACCTAATCAAAAGCAATTAATACAATGTTGTACATTTTATGAATACACAGGTCTGCACATTCTGTCCTTTGGCTCAGTACCTTCACATGATATAAAAAGAATTAATAATAATAATAACACGGGACAATTAAGATGAGTTTAATTTTAGGGCCCATATTTATAGATCCTTACCAAGCCTAGTTATCATCTAAGTATGTAATATGGCATATGTATTAATTGACAACAAGCTCAGTAAGGTTGTATGAATATGGGTCCTGAACACTTCATACAACATGTATTTTTTGGTGATGTTTGACATGAAATACACACAAATGGAGGAAAATATGGAGAAATGGTGGTGAAAAAAAAGCATCCATCAATTTACATAATAAAGGTATACCATTGACAACTCTACCTCCGTTTTACTACTTACATATATATAAAACTAGAATTCTAAAAAATGTATCAATTAAAAGGTAAACTCAAAAACTTAGGATCCACGCAACCCTTTACTTCTTGCACATTTCTTCTGGTCAAAATTCTCTCCACCCCCCCCCCCCCCCATAAAGAGAAATAATAATCAATAAAATAAAATAAAACATAATGATAATAATAAATAAATAACATAAAATAATAGTAATAATTCAAATATTAAAAAAAATTATAACAATCAGCTCATTTTAAAATTGTAAGATTGCTACATTCATTGCATTTTTGTGCAAGTGGGAATTGAAAAAGATAACAAAGATTACTCTTTTCCAATTATGTGATAGGGTACCATGAATATTCTATAATAGGAATCATTAACAGGCATAATGTAATTGTGGAGAAGAATTATCATGAAAAAAATCACATACGGATTGTCCCATCCTTGTGATTATGATGTGATGATACAGTATGTGCTAAAGAAGCAAATGAGCTTGGGCTACAAAACGCAGTCTGTATAATGAGCCGACAATACCTTCCATGACAGCATTCTTGTACACATGCATGTAGCTTACTACATGGTATATGTGTGTATCAAGAGACTCAAAACTGTTGACTCATTATTACTGACAGGTTTTGGATTAAATAAAGTTGTATAGGTACATATTTGTAGGTGATACTGGTTTTACAAGAACACCAAAGTCCTAACAACCATTGCGTGTGAGCTTGCGATGACCGGTTTCCTGATGATTTAAGATCCTCTTCATATACTGTCCTGTTCATAACTAGAAGAGGCTGATGCTCGAGGTCTCTTACTTCTTTGTGCTCGAGGTCTTCGAGCTCGAGTTCTTCATCACCCACAACATACCTTCCTGCATGGGGGGGGGGGGGGGGGGGAGGAGTACAACACAAACATGGAATTATCATTTATTTCATTAGGTGTTATAATACAAATTAAATGTATCAGTGAGGGTATTGGTAAGCATTTTCCACATCAGCCCTACCCTTGGTAGTCAGACACCTGAGGTGGAAGGCATCATTAAAAAAAATATTAAACGATGTCACAGCCGTAAAATATGCATGACTGAAAACCTGGCTAGTATCAATACCAAGACATGGAGCAGGTTCAGTATCAATATATCAACACATTTGTCCACTAATGATTTCTTTTAAATCCAACTATTTCACAAATTTTTTCAAAGTCAAGGTCCTATTCTCAGACTTGTCAATAATTGCACTACATATGTTAAACTTACGAGACTTCCTAAACTTACTATTTTGCAAAACTGTTTAGGACTTCTGGAACAACCATGTATTGCATCTTCTGGGAATACCCAAAGGACTTTACACTACTATAATGCAACATCACTCTGTTTCTCTTCTTTTCAGGAAATGACTACGGTATGCACCACTTTATCTTTATTATTTCTAATAATGCAGTGGTCTGAATTATGAACCTATCTATTTAAAGCCTATCTGCACTAGTTTGGCCAGGAAGGACCAAGCCTCCCTGCATAGTCACTGACAGGTGATTATCTCATCAAATCAGCTCTCAATTAACATAAGAAAAAGGAAACCATGGGGGACCAACAGCTACATTTACCTCATCGGCATTGTTTGCTATATAGAGGGCGCAAGTAGCTACAAGTAGTGCAGTCCCACTTTTAATGTAGGTCCGTACAACAAATGCTTTGCAAGTCCAATTTAATGCTTAATTTGATTACAGAATATTTGCTCTACCATTTAGTGAAGAAATTATTATTATCAGATGGTACATTCTCTTAACACCTGCATAGCACATACATGTAAATTGTTTTATATTTGAATGTATAATCTTGATAACTTGTCTTTTGCATTTTCTTAATATGAAGATACAACCTGTATGAATATAATATACATGTACATGTATATCTTATCTACCGGTACTTAATAATGACAGTTTATTTGTATACAATCAGCTTATGAGCAGAGCCTTCTACAGAAATATGAATTCTTTTGGTGTTCCACAGGGATTGTTTTATGGTTTCTTTACTTTGTTATTGTATAATTTCTTACTGTATTTTGTCTTCTTTGTTATAGCCATACTCGCTTACGTTCCTGGAAATGACATACCGTAATTAACAGTGTATAAACTGCCCTCGTGTATTAACGGCACCCCTCTTTTTCGCAAAAAAAATAAATAAAAAAAATTTAAAAATTGCTGACTCTTTCAGCAGCAAGCCAGGTCTGTGTTAAAAAAAAAACATGCAGGAAGGCCTTTCATTTAACTGCGAGGTGCAGCCAAATGTGTAAGATCATTGTAAATTAAAAAACAGTAGAGGACCTAGGATAAAACCTTGTGGTACACCATGTAATAGAAGAAAAATTGGAGGAATTATTATTATAAACTATTGAGATCTATCAGAAAGATTACTTTCAAACCGAGATGACAGACAAATTTGAGTGTTGTTCTAGTTTCTGAGTGGTGAGTCAACAGCTGGGAGACATTGCCAGGCATAGCGCCAGGTGGAGGGTCAAAAATCGAAACATAAAAAAAAATAAAATTAAAAATTGTACCGTGTATAAGCCGCACCCCCGACTTTGAATTTTTTTTCGGCGGCAAAAAAGTGCGGTTTATACAACGTTAATTACGGTAAATAAAATAACAAGAGCAAATCCTTACCTTTAAGCCCTCTCCAGTGAGCGCTGAGCATCTTTGTATTTGCCATGCCCTGCCACGTATTGAACGAAGGCTAAGGGCTTCATCATCTGAAAGGTCCGCTGGACTTGCAGCGCCAAGCAAATCCTGCTTATTGGCATATATCAACACAGGTGTTCCCTGTAAGGGCTCTTCTTCTAAAAGATCTTGGAGTTCCTGCATGGCATAGAGTGTAAGAGCAAGGTGTATGAAGAGAAATACAAACTTACTGATGATATCTTTTAAGATTAAGAATAGCAGTTCTGCTGAAGTGTTAAAAAAAACAATCTTAAGAAATATCTGTTTAATTTAGCTTATAATTGATTACCATAACCTTTCATGTCTGTACCTTTCCTATCGCACTTTGTATAAATGTATCATGTATGTATTTCATCTTTTGCACAAGCTGCGCCTTGAGCATTTGACTGTCAAGTGGATTTGGCGCCTTATATTATTATTATTATATAATAATAATTAGTACAGTACACCGCATAATAAACATTTACAAGCAGAGTATTCTGGCCAGGACGCCAATTTTATAAGTGCACATGTGCCAATATAACCATATTAATGTTCACATCCTACAAGGTACCGGTACCCATTTAACACATACATGAAGATTGATTTTTTTACAAAGGACATTAGTGCTATGGCGGGACTCGAGCTGTGAACCATGTGATCCACAGTCCTGCGACATATCAACTAGACCACGACACCTCTACAGATCCCACTGTAATGACATGTTTACTAACTGAGTAAAACAGACAGGTAATATGTTAACATGTTACTTACCAGACCAGTTTCTTCAAATCTGTCCCTGTCGCAGCTATCTATCACATAGATCAACACATCTGTGCTTTGGATATAATTCTTCCAGTACGGTCTTAGTTTCCGCTGCCCTGCAATGAAAAGAGTGGAAAGGGGAAGGGAAAACGTTTGTAAATAAGTATGGTACATATCCTCTACTCTATATGGTTACCAGTTAAATGGACTTGTGTTCTTTAAATCCTCACTCTATGTCTACTTTTTATATTTGAAACATTGTGAAGTTGACATACCTCCAATATCCCAGACATTCAATTTCAAGCCATTTGCGTTTACACTCTTGATGTTGAATCCTTGTGTTGGTGAGATGTTGTCGTGGCTTTCATTTGACAGGAACTTTAGAATGGTAGTCTTGCCAGCATTGTCCAGACCCAGTAAGAGAACGCGTAGCTCCCTTGTGTCTTTACGCTTCATCTTCCGTAATAAATCTAATAGCCCAGGCTGCAGAAAAAAGCACACATAATTTTACCATTAAGGCATTAACTAGTAGTAGGACATGCAAGAACAAGACCATACAATTACATACAAGGTATATAAGACCTAACCTCCACCCAATCCTTGGTCTGTAACATTATTACTAGAGAAACTCTTTTTCCTAGACGCTGTATTACATGTACATGCAATGATAGATGAGCATTTATTTTCCGAAGAGGTTAATTTGTTTTATTTTGCGAGTTGCTGTGGGATGACAAGATCATGAACTTAACAACATGCAAAGTGAGTTGGTAATTTACAAACTGTGTACTGCAGATATGTGCACTGACGTTTTGTGAGTTATTAAGGGTGCGTTTAAGCTCAACTTTTTCAGGCCAGAATAAGGCTTTTGTTACACATTGTGTTCAAAAGAAGGTTGCCTCCTTTCTCATTTTTGAATAAATGACGATTGTAAACATCGATTGTTAACTCACAAAAAGGTGAGCTTTGGATCAGTGTTTCTCTTAACAGACGGTTTCTGGGAAAGCATAAATGCACAATCAATTGTAAACGTGTGTCCGATTCACATGAAAATCTGTGCAAAAATTCTCAAGGCATGCGCATAATCAGGCACAAGCAGAGTCATCCAAGGCCGAGCAAGATCATTTGTAACTGTACTTCTTCCATATTAATATCATTGTCTTGAAATGAGAGTCAAGAGCTCAAACTACAGACGATAGTCGCGACACGTACACAAAAATATCACAGTAGGCCCTATACAGTTTTTTAAAATAGCGCGCCCCAACTTTACCTTCTTCTTTGTCCTCATTCTCCACTCCTGAAAGCCTTAGCTCAATTATGATATCTCATCAAGTAGATCTAGAATTTCACTTACCGTTACTGGGTTAGAAAGTAGATCTGATTGGTTCAGATAAATTTGCGTAGAATGTGACATGGTTTGAATATCACATCTCCCCCACCCCCCAAAAATGGAAATTTGCGCAAACTTTTTGGACACCAAATTCACACAATCAGCAATTAAATTTAAGCATCATCGTGATTGATATTGATAAGTATCCTGATCATTCATACTCATAGTAGGCACATTCATGGGGCACTAGAGGGCGCTTCGCGCGCATTTGAAAATCTGAATGGCCTTGCTGCGGTGGGTCGGCAATAATCAGCCCAAAACTTGGATATGGGAGGGTGGAAGGATATATCTTTTTTATAATGTTATCCGGTCTTACCCCTGACCATCCTATGTTTAATCTAAGTAGAAATAACATGCAAGTACGAGAAGAGAAACACCGGGCCCATTACTGATGCAACTTTTTAAATATTTTGCCTAGAAATGACCACCAAACAGAAAAAATTGACATTTTTTTCTGACAAATCTTCATAAAATCTGAGTTATAAACAACTCACAACTAGATACGGTAATACGATTTTCTGAAAATTCAGATGTGATTTTTTAAGTTTCTTTCAAGTATTTTTCTGCGCATCGCAGCACCAATTTTCTTCACTGCTTCAAAATCACCCTTGAAATTTTTTTTGCAACAAATTTGATACAAGGTCCGCGAGTGTTCCCCGTTCCTTGCGTGTTGAAAGTTTGGTAATACATAGTTTGCATCGACTCGCGCACGAAAAAATGGCTCGAAAACAAATGTCAAATGAAGAAATAAACAAGCTTTTGTATAGTTATAAGACTAAGAGATCTACCAAGGTTTCTTCGTCGATTTAATTTAAATTATATAGTCTCAATTAGAATTCAGAATTATCTCACTGAAAAGTTAAGAAACCGACGATGTTTTCGATCGTAGTTATTTTTATTTTGCCAGCAGACAATCTAGCGTTGTTTTGGCAAAAAGCTAGCCCGCCACCTTCCCACCACGAACCTTTCGAGTTCCACTAAAATTGCGCGCTGCGGAGCTCTGAAGGTGCATTGGTATCGTTGGCAAACTCCCAGTCCGCTAGCTCCCCACGACGGACCATTCGTGGTATGGCAACAGTGTGTGTACTGTGTGTGAGGTACGATTTTGGTTTCGAGAACGCACGTAACGCAACCGTGCACGTCACTTTCAGCTGTCGAATAAGGACATTTTTACATGTACGATTTTTAGGATGGATACTTGGTCAGTTTTCTTCTTAGAAAATATCTTTTGTTGCTTTACAATTAAAAATAAAATTTCTTCAAATTTGCTCCTGACTCGGTTCAGTCTAATCTACATGTAGTCTAGATTCTAATTGTCTGATGTGTTTTCAAGTCAATTTTTTAAATATATTTGTTTGCATGAATTTGCCTCGGACTAGTCTACTCATAGACATAAATCTACATGTAGGTCTAGACTCAAGACTAGATCTAGACCTATATCTATTCATAGGCCTAGACCTAATTCATAAATCATGTCTTTACTTTACTACTAGTCAGCATGGTCAGTAGATTTAGTCTGACTTTACTTTCAATATTTTTGTTTCGTACAGAAGTTAGATCCAGACACAGTCAACAGTCACACTCACACACAGTCAGTAGTGTAGGTCTAGATATGAATGGATCACAACACAGCAGAGGAAAATGGGTGCCAAGTTAAGCATGTTGCAAGCCTTACATGCAGTCATGATTAACTGATGTTGCATGTCAAAAAAATTCACTAGCAAGCAACGCAACGCAATACCTTGGCTTGAGCCTGGTCGGGTCAGCGGTTAGCCATGACGCCGATCTCACAGGCGCAGGCGAGGCTGCTTCGCTGGAGCTATGCGATTTGGCTGCGATTGGAGAGCCATCCTCACATTATTCGATCTTTTTTATACGCTGGATTAACTGCAACACAAAGTACACAATTACAGAATTGAAAGAATATTATGAAAAAGAAGTACATGTAACATATAACCTAACCACATATATTTCTTACCATGATTGTAGATATAATAGATAGCCTAAATCCGGAGACAAATAAATGGAAACGCTTTCTGTAACTAAGCTATGTGACGTCATTGAAAAATGTACTTCCGGAATTCGGATAGAGCTCATATTTATTGTGCATTGTGGGATACAATGCAATGGTACGTGAATTAGGAGATCTATACCAGCAATATCAGTAATACTGCCTATAGCTCCTCTCAAGTCTCAACTGCATAAGTTCATTTCATATCCTGGGATATATTAGGCTATATGGTTTCATAATAAGGCCTATGCACAGCAGGGGCGGATCTAGGGGGTGGCGGTTTACGCCCCCCCCCCCTTGGCAGCCAAGTGGAGAAAAAAAGAAAAGGGGGCCGGGGGCGGGGGGGGGGGGGAGAGAGAAAAAGAAGGAGAAAAAAAAGTTTAAAAAGTAAAACAGTAAAACGGCGCGATTTTTAGAAAATCCTGGATCCGCCACTGGGTCAACATCCCCCCCCCCCCCCTGGCAAAAAGCTAGAACCGCCCCTGCACAGACCGAGTAATTATAGTACTAGAGAAAGTAGTTATTTAATATAAATCAAGCAATCAAGGCAACAATGCCTCATGTTAATTGAATGAAAACAAAATGATATACATAGTACATCTGACAAATAAGGGCATATTTCTTACCAGTGCCGTGGCTTACGCAGGATTTTTTCAAGGGGAGGGGGGGGGGGGGTTAACATTTTTAAATCGGGCCGAAAATTTCACAATGCCTCAGCCAGCCGGTGAATAAGCGGGGTGGGGTAAGAGCACATTTTTATTTGTTGGTCCCAAAATGTTTGCAACGAATTATGGGGGGGGGGTAAGGTCAGTTTTGGGGGGTCACCCTTTGGTACAAAAAACATATACAATGTTTTTTAGTTTTTTAAGGAGGGATTTCATCAAAAATCAAAGGGATGGTTCGACCCCCCCCCCCCCCCCTGCGTACGCGTCTGTATCTTACTGAAAGTTGATCAATAGCGACAATCTTCATTAGGAGCAGGCGCGTACGCAGGGGGGGGGGGGGTGTTTGGGGGGTTAAACCCCCCCCCCCTTTGGTATTTTTATGTGTATAAACCCCCCTCAAAAAAACCAAAACTCCCCCCTTTGTTTTTTTTTTATATAAAAAAATGAATAAATAAAAAATTATTCCCATGGCAGACCTAAAAAAGGTGATCTTACCCCCCCCCCCCCCCCAACGGAGCAAAATGTCAAATTTTCAAATTTCGAGACCAAAAAAAAAAAAGAAAAAAAAGTCCTCCCACCTTCTTATAATATAATCCCCCTTTCTTTATTTTCCCTTTCCCCCTTTTCTCTCCACCGTCTTTCCCCTTTCTCCCTTTTTCGCCTTTTCTCTCCTCTCTCTCTTCCCCTTTCTTCCTTTCCCCTCCTCCCCTTTTCTCTTCTCTCTCTTTTGTTCTTCTTTCTCTCTTCCCTTTTCTTTCTTTCTCCCCTCCTTTTTCTTTCCCCCTCTTTTCAGTAATCATTTTCTCCCTTTTTCCTTCCCCCTCCCCCTTTACCCCCTTTTTTCACCAGGGGGGGGGGGCATGTGCCCCCTGCCCCCCCCCCCCCCTTTATCTGCCACTTGGGGTACTCCGCACATTACATACGGGGATGTGCCGCTCTATATAAAATGAGTCGCTCTTTCTCTAAAATTCACTAGACATAGCATTGGTTTATAAAAGTGTCACTTGCACATATTGGTTTTTTGCTTGTTTTTTTGTTTGTCTAATTATCACCAAGGACTTGTAAATATGTAATTTTCATATGATTGAAAATGTAATAAACACACAAATATTTTTTTTTAAATATCACTAAACATGGGTCCAATTATCAAACATTTTCGCGTGTTTGCATGGCGAAAAAATCTGCCAAAATGACCCTAAAAAATGGGGAGGGGTAACTAAACCAAATCTGAGTAGGGCCTCCCCCCAAGAAGAACAAGAAGAACAAGAAGAACAAGAAGAACAAGAAGAAAAAGAACAAGAACAAGAAGAACAAGAAGAACAAGAACAAGAAGAAGATCGAAGAAGAAGAACAAGAAGAACAAGAACAATAACAAAGAAGAAGAAGAACAAGAAGAAGAACAAGAAGAACAAGAAGAACAAGAAGAATAAGAAAAAGAAGAAGAAGAAGACAAGATCTGATAGAAGAAGAAGAATTAGAATTAAGAAGGATCGAGAAGGAGGAGGAGGAGGAGCTAGGAGGAGGAAGAAGAGGAGGATGGAGGAGGAAGAGTATGACTGAGGAGGAGGAATTAGAAGAGGATGAAGAAGAAGAGGTGAGGAGGAGGAGGAGGAGGAGGAGGAGGAGGAGAGGAGGAGGGGGAGGAGGAGGGGATGGGGAGGAGGAGGAGGAGGAGAAGGAGGAGGAGGAGGAACTAGTCTTTAGCTATGCAACTAGCGACTGTTCGCGCAGACTACTATACCGTGTGTTTCTATTACGTCTATGGTTCGAGGGTGTTTGCCAGGGTAGGCAATCTTTTGGAACCTGTAGAGGTTTGCGCACGTCACTACGTAAAGGAAATGTTGACGCCCCCTAATGAATATGCATTATGCTTGTGCCGACACGGCGTGTGTACTGTCCGTACACGCTGTGCATGCATAGGCTATGGCTATGTTGACAGCACATCTGCACTACCGATTCAAGCAAGAGAATATATGTATTTCACTACACTTGTATTGTTTTGAATACATTAATTGCATCTATACTTGCATCAATTAAGTTAGTGCATTTCTAAATTTGTATTGTACTGTTGTGACTTCATACTTGCATCAATATAAGTTATTGCATCTAACCTGTTCCAAACTGCATTTTGCGTGTCCCAAATTTATATCTTTGTCATGGGTGCATTGTTTGCATCAATCAAGTTATTGCATTGTACATGTTCCAAGCTGCATTCTACGTGTACCAAAATTTCTATCTTTTGGTAATTGTGTTGTTTTGACTACAGACTCCCATTATTTAAGTTATTGCATTGTATATGTTCCAAGCTGCATTCTACGTGTACCAAAATGTCTATCTTTGGGTAATTCTGTTGTTTTGCCTACACACTCCAATCATTTAAATTATTACATTGTTCATGTTCCAAGCTGCATTCTACGTATTCCAAAATGTTGAGTAATTGTATTGTTTAGCCTACACACTCCCATCATCCAAATTATTGCAATATACATGTTCCAAGCTGCATTCTACGTGTTCCAAAATTTCTATCTTTGGGTAATTGTATTGTTTTGACTACACACTTGCCTCAATCAAATTATTGCATTATTATGTTCCAAGCTGCATTCTACGTATTCCAAAATTTCTATCTTTGGGTAATTATATTGTTTTGCCTACACACTCCTATCATTCAAATTATTGCATTGTACATGTTCCAAGCTGCATTCTACGCGTTCCAAAATGTCTATTTTTACGGGATAATATTGTTTTGCCTACACACTCCCATCAATCAAATTATTGCATTGTACATGTTCCAAGCTGCATTCTACGTGTTCCAAAATTTCTATCTTTGGGTAATTGTATTGTTTTGCTTACACACTCCATCATTCAAATTATTGCATTGTATATGTTCCAAGCTGCATTCTACGTATTCCAAAATTTCTATTTTTGGGTAATTGTATTGTTTTGCCTACACACTCCCATCATTCAAATTATTGCATTGTACATGTTCCAAGCTGCATTCTACGTGTTCCAAAATTTCTATCTATGGGTAATTGTATTGTTTTGACTACACACTTGCCTCAATCAAATTATTGCATTGTATATGTTCCAAGCTGCATTCTACGTATTCCAAAATTTCCATCTTTGGGTAATTATATTGTTTTGCCTACACACTCCCATCATTCAAATTATTGCATTGTATATGTTCCAAGCTGCATTCTACGTATTCCAAAATTTCTATCTTTGGGTAATTATATTGTTTTGCCTACACACTCCCATCATTCAAATTATTGCAATGTACATGTTCCAAGCTGCATTCTACGTGTTCCAAAATGTATATCTTTGGGTAATTGGTATTGTTTTGACTACACACTTGCCTCAATCAAATTATTGCATTGTATATGTTCCAAGCTGCATTCTACGTATTCCAAAATTTCTATCTTTGGGTAATTGTATTGTCTTGCCTACACACTCCCATCATTCAAATTATTGCATTGTACATGTTCCAAGCTGCATTCTACGTGTTCCAAAATGTCTATCTTTAGGGGATAATATTGTTTTGCCTACACACTCCCATTATTCAAATTACTGCAAAAAACATGTTCCAAGCTGTATTATACGTGTTCCAAATTTCTATTTTTAGGGGATAATATTGTTTTGCCTACACACTCCCATCATTCAAATTATTGCAGTGTACATGTTCCAAGCTGCATTCTACGTGTTCCAAAATTTCTATCTTTGGGTTATTGTATTGTTTTGTCTACATACCACTCAGGCGCGGATCCAGGATTTTCCAATAGGGGGGCCGGAAATTTAAAAATTGCGCATACCGTTTTTGTCCAACTCAATATACCAATACTGACAAGGTCATAATAGAAGCACCATACCGGTACATCGGGGGGGGGGGGGGGGAGGGCTATAGCCCCTTGCCCGAAAAAGTAATTTTCTGGTTTCACAATTCGGCTAGTGAGCGAAGCGAGTGAGCAAAAATGTGAGCATAATATGTATTTTGTGAAATAATTATTTGTCACCAAAATAAATGAGAAAAGATTTTTTTTTAAAATCATATTCGGGCAGCTCGCTGTTCCCCCCCCCCCCCCCTTACTGGCGAAGCGCATAAGCTTTGATGCTTCATTAATTTATGAGAGGAAGAAGATGATTCGTTGTTCCATTCTCGGTTCTTAATCCTTGTTTGAATTCAGTTTTCTTTAAATTATTAGAGAAAGAAGACAATTCTTTGTACCATTCTCGTCTCTTAATCCTTGTTGAATTTAGCTTTCCCCCTTCAGCACGAGGCGTGGAAGCTTTGACGTTTTATTAAATTATTAGAGAAAGAAGATGATTCGTTGTTCCATTCTCGACTCTTAATCCTTGTTTGAATTTATTTTTCATAAAATTATTAGAGCAAAAGGTCTAGCGACGCCCCTGTGCGTACCCTAGATAACACTGAGTGGGTGGGGAAGAGAAAAGTCGGGTGAGGAAGGGGGAAAGAAAAGGAAATGGCGCTAAGTGACAGTAACGACGAATAAGGGAAAACTGTAATCCGGAGATTTGGGGGTCATTCCTGAAGGCTTGGCATACGTTATTGAATAGAGGGGGCCGGGCCGGCCGCATAAAATCTCGAGCCGCGGATTCAAAGTTAAACATTAAAAACAGCCCCTGCGCTCCCGCCCCCCCCCCCCCCCACTCAGTGTTATTTAGGGTACGCATATGCTCGTACCCTCTTTTTAACAGCACCCCCTATCTGAGGACTGCCAACATTTCCAAACCCCCCTTTCGCGGGCTTTTCGCGGGCTTTTCCTGCCTTGGAGACCCCCCTAAATCAGGAAAAATGCTCAATGTACCCCCCTAAATTCGGAATAATTTCTCAGGAGTCCAAAGAGATGAGAGAAAAAAAGAAAAACACCCCCTTTTTAAAGAAATCTCAGGGTGGAAAGTCAAATACACCCCTTTTTTTACAATTCTCGGGCCGGACTTTGTCGCACGAAAAATACCCCTTTACCGGACATTTTGGCAACACGCATGCGGTCATTCCGACCTTTGAGTGGGGGGGGGGGGGGGGCCGGGCCTGCGCTACAAAGGTCATCACTCTTTAGTGAGAAATTTGAAAAGGGCACATAGGCCCGATTTCACAAAGCAAGGTTTGAGCTCAAACCTCCTTTTGTTTCGCCAAACCTCCCTTTGTTATTTACAAACCAGGTTTATATGTTGGATCTCTTTTAAATAGAAGCTATATACTCAACAGTCAGATTTTGCCCTTCATTTGGATTCAGCTCACAACCAACTCGCTTGTGTTTGTATTTGAACTCATGTCGGTAGTAATCATGGACAGGGGCGGCAATCCTGGATCCGATACGGGGACACGTCCCCCAGGAAATTTAGTAATATAGCCAGAAAGAAATCTAGCGGAAAGAACGTACATATTGAGCTTAGGGATTTTCTAGATAATTTCGCCCGATAACACAAAACTATGATATGACGCTCCCGGGCCGTGATTTATCCATGGTTGGTGTAATAGATCTGTTTTTTCTTTCATTTCCACTAACCTAATTATGTGCTATCACAATTATGATTGTTTCATTTCCCCTTTAAAGCAGGCGCGTAGCTAGGGGCGGTAGGGGCAGTAAGAGGACATAGGACGAAAAAGGAGCAGACAAAGCAACATTTTTGGAAATTCTGACAAGGCGAGAACGGTACAACGAATCATCTTCTTTCTCTAATAATAAATGAAATGTCAAAGCTTCCGCGCTTCGCTCGCTCGGGGGCAACTGAATTCAGACAAGGATTGAGAGTCGAGAATGAAACAACGAATCGTCTTCTTTCACTAATAATTTAATGAAAATAAATTTAAACAAGGATTAAGAGTCGAGAATGGAACAACGAATCATCTTCTTTCTCTAATAATTTAATAAAACGTCAAAGCTTCCACGCCTCGTGCTGAAGGGGGAAAGCTGAATTCAAACAAGGATTAAGAGACGAGAATGGAACAAAGAATCGTCTTCTTTCTCTAATAATTTAAAGAAAACTGAATTCAAACAAGGATTAAGAATCGAGAATGGAACAACGAATCATCTTCTTCCTCTCATAATTTAATGAAGCGTCAGAAGTTTACGCGCGGGCGGGGAAAATTGAATTTAGACAAGGATTGAGAGTCGAGAATGGAACAACGAATCATCTTCTATCTCTAATAATTTAATAAAACGTCAAAGCTTATGCGCTTCGCCAGTAATGGGAGGGGGGAACAGCGAGCTGCCCGAATATGATTTTTTTTTTATTTTTATCTTTTCTCATTTATTTTGGTGACAAATTACACTTTCACAAAATACAATTTATGCTCAAATTTTTGCTCGCTCGCTTCGCTCTCTAGCCGAATTGTGAAACCAGAAAATTACTTTTTTGTGCAAGGGGCTAAAGCCTCCCCCCCCCCCCCCCCCCCGATGTTCCGGTATCGTGCTTCCATTATGACCTTGTCAGTATTGGTATATTGAGTTGGACAAAAACGGTAGGGCAATTTTTAAATTTCCGCCCCCCCCCCCCCCTATTGGAAAATCCTGGATCCGCGCCTGAGTGATGTGTAGACAAAACAATACAATTACCCAAAGATAGAAATTTTGGAACACGTAGAATGCAGCTTGGAACATGTACATTGCAATAATTTGAATAATGGGAGTGTGTAGGCAAAACAATATTATCCCGTAAAGATAGACATTTTGGAACACGTAGAATGCAGCTTGGAACATGTACAATGCAATAATTTGAATAATGGGAGTGTGTAGGCAAAACAATATTATCCCCTTAAAGATATACA